TCAGATATCAGGGTAAAACCTGAAAGATCAGAGAAGCAGAAGAACATCCACAGTCAATCCCTTCCTCTTCCATTCCTCCATTCCAAAAAGGCCGAGATCCTGTCTCCGCCCGCCTTATCATTTCCTGTTCCTCTCTGTACAGACCTCCAGACCTCTATGGTTAACTGGTGGCTAGCTCTGCCCTCTGACTCGAAGCAAGCTTTGTCAGAAGACAAAATATCACACAACACCATTCCAAATGTGGCTGGTGCCCTCCCACAAGCTGGGAGCCCAGAATAAAAGAGAAAGACAGCTAAATGATAGTGTTCCCTCCCTTCACTTCTTATCTACTGAGAACTGAAAAAGACCTCCTCACCATATACTCATGGCATCATGAGATTCTTTGCCCAAGCACAGTGACTATGGGCTGAACTGTCTGAAAACATGAGCCAAAATGAGTCCTTCCTCCCTTAAGTTGTTTCTAACAGGTGTTTTCATCACACTGGGGAGACTAACAAACACAGTAATATGTACCCAGCAGAATGAGTCAATCGGGATAATTAATGCTGCAGTCCCCTTAATTGCTTGTCATTTCAAGTTAACTGCAACTCTTACCCTTTGACCATCAGCTCTTCGTCTTCCCCTAGCACCCAGCCTCGTGCAATCACCATTCTGTGCTCTGCTTCTATGAGTTCAATTGGCTTTGATTCCATGTACAATTGAGGACGTGTGGTGTCTGGTTTTTATGGGTCTTGCTTATCTCACCTAGAATAATCTCTTTTAAAGGTTGAAGCACATTCCACTGTGTGTATATAGCTACATTTTTTTTCCCTCTTCATCCATTTGTCCATTGGTGGACACTTAGGATGATTTCCTGACTTCGCATTGTAAATAAAGCTGCCTGTGATAAATGTTAGGTGTGGCTATCTCCTCGACATCCTGAGTTCAAGTCTTTTGGGTAGTGGGAAATACACCTCCAAAGCTCAGTGGAAGAGTACTGGCCTAGTCTGCACATGGCCCTGGGTTTGATCCCTAGCACCATACACAAGTATACACACACACACACACACAAAAAAAAAAAAAAAAAACCACTAATTGTATTTATAGGCAGGTCTGTCACTGTTTCCTTCTTGGGAAAGCAATAGCCCTTTCTTTGACGCTACCTGAGTTTTAGCTGAAGAACCACTGAACAGAGCAGGAGACATTTGGGGCACATTAAGCCAGTCCATGCAAACTTCCCCAAACAAATTTCTTTGTTCCTGATCCTCGGTTTTCATGCTGCAGAACAAAAGTGTTACTTGTTTCATCTACTCAAAAGATGTTACTGAAAGAAAAGGAAATAAAGATGAAAATCACTTTTAATTTAGGTTAGGATTGTGATTTACCTGGGTGTATTCTGCCTTCCTGAAAACTGTTTTACTCAGTATTCTGTATTCACCACAGACTCCACCCATGACCAGCCAAGCAAGACTGTGTTGCATCAAGCATACTCCAATTTACTGGCCAGTTTCAGCCTAGAATCTCACTGTTTATGACTCTATGTATACAATTAGGGATGGAAATTATCATAATTCTTATCAATGACTGCATTTATATACAGCCTCTGTGACTACGAACAGAATAATGCATGTGTTTGCAATTCAAAGGCCTAGAACATCAGCTATACAGTGGGAACTTGACTAAACTAGGTTAGTAGTTTCTGCACACAAAAATGAATCAGTAAGAGTGTGAAAACAAAGGAGTGTGTGAAACATGGCCACCATCTGAACTGTTTACAACCTAACCCAGTTGACCAGGCCTTACTTAAAGAGAGAAGATAACAGTAAGAGAACTGCTAGTTATGAAAGAGGATCCAACCAGGACCAAGCAGACTGTATAGGGGTTGACGACCTGGCTCCTGTGTGTGAGCCTCAGAGCTGAATGACAAAGCTCCCTTCACAGATCTTGTATTGCTTGGGAGCTCCACTTTTGCATCTGGGAAAAGATTCTGCATGCTTTCATCTGTCAATAAGCTTAGATTTGGACAGTGAAATGATTACAACAAAACATTTGGTTTGGATCAACAAGTAAGCATATTCTACTAATCTTTGTTTTTCTTGCTTGTAGGGCCTGTTCAAGATCCTGTTGTCCTTCATCAGACATATGTTAGTTAAGCTGTGGTTCTCCACAGAAGGGCACCTCTTTGTGCAAGTGTGCTTTGGGATTCTTTCCTTCCTGTTTGTCCTTCTCACCTTGCTCTTCCTTTCCTTACTCTCATCCTTCCTTCCTTAGCATTCATTAAGCTAATCAGCAAGGACTTGTGACTCAGGTACTGTGACAAGTGAGGGAAATGCAACTATCAGCACTGTCCATGTGACAGCTGTTAGGGAAAAAAATCATTGGAGTAGTACACTTGATATTAGCCAAAAGGCAAAAAAGAAAAGAATTGTCACATGATGTGAGAACCTAGAAAAGGGCTCAACCCTGCCACAGGGATTCAAGAAGCAGTAGGGCAGCTGAGCCGGTCCAGGGAGGTCAGACAGTGTCAGCTAGGTCAAAGGAGCAGGAGGTATTTCACAGAGTACCAACATGTGCAGAAGTGGAGCTGTGGAAAGACACATTGGACTCAAAGGATGGACAAGGAGAGGTGACAAGAGTGAAGACAGAAATTGCAAATAAGTCTGAAGGCTCCATTCCACTCCACAGATTCGAACCTGGTACTGGGGAGGATCACAAAGGCCTAAGAAGTACATAGTGTTTAGATCCCTGGGTAGGTGGTTACTGACAAGGACAATCTGGCAGGAATGGAGTTATTTTTCTAGAGTACTAAAGGGAAATGATTAAGGAGAGGAAATGGCAGGAAAGGCTAAGAGGGTAGGGCAGAGGGGAAAAGTGAAGACAAAGAGTGGAGATGAATGGAGGCCTTGGCTGAGAAACATGTCTGGAGCAGAACTGACTTCAAGGGCGGGAGAGAGGGTGGGGGAGGCAGAGGATGAGACATGTTTTTATGTTGTGAAATGGGCGATGTGATGATGACACCCAGGAGCAGAAGAGGAGAAGCAGGTTTGAGGGAAGATGTTAACGCAGGCATGGACACACATTGCATTGCTATGTCTCAGAACATACACGTCACAGGAAACTAAGTTAGTAAACTAAATTAAAATAGGAGGGTGAAAATATGACTTTAATCTCAAGGCAAGACAGATTTGGAAAATATTAGCATGTAGAAAATATTTTAAAACATGAGCATTGTTGAGAGCACTTAGAAAGAATATATAAAGGTAAGAAAAGCACCAAGGAGTTCCTACCTGAATAGATACCCAGAGAAAAAGGCAGACACAGCAGAAATTGGAGGAAGGGTCAAAACATAAGATGAGATGGGGAAGTCAAGTAGGAGAGAGCAAGTCTGGAGACTAGATCAGTAGAGCAGAAGTTGTCTGTGGTCAGTCTGAATCTGACTTTACACTTTCTCCCTCCTTAACCCCATCTAAAGACGTAACCTTGTCTCACTCTGGTGGGCAAACACCCATGTGATGAGAGACAAGCAGCTGGGAGGCAAGGCACTAAGTTGGCCCATGCTGTTCTTCCTAAACTGGCTCGATGTTTCTGGGAGCAAGTTTCAACTCCTCTTTTTGCTTAAGCTTCTCAATATTCCTACTACTGGAGGCTGATGTTCCAGCTCTAGGCTCCTGGGATTCAGGGCTATCCCTTCTCTGCTTAAAAGATTGGGATTCCTTATCTATTTGTTCTTGATCCTATGGATGCCTAGAATTATCTTGGCCTGCTTTGGGATCCTGAGCAGCATTAATGTGGCATCTGGGAAGCTCCTGCTAGCAAATGAGCAACTGACAGATAGATATATATCCCACTGTCTACTTACTGCTGTTATTTCCTCCATGGTTCTTCACCACTACAAGAGACCCTTCATTCAGTGCATGTACTTGACAACTTCTGTACAGCTACTGTGTATCAGTCCCTATTCTAGGGAATAAAGATGCAGTAAATACAACTGATAATGTATTTCCCCAGTGGGCTTCAGGTCTAATTTGAAGGTCAAAAATGTATGTTAGTAGTGTGTCAGGTAGAGGAAAAAAATCACACAGCCTATGAGCAAGCAATAGAGAGTCTGAAGTAAAAGCATGAGTATTTTACTAGGGGGTGGGTAGTGCTGAGTAAATGAACTTGAGCGATAGAATTCTCTAGAGGGACAGAAAGGATAGAATGAATATAGATTACAAAGGGGATGATTACCTGATATGGGAAAGGTAGTTCAATAATGGAGATGCTGAGAAACCTAAAAACTAACTATTTGGTACTGAAGTTGAGATGCCTCAGCAGGCCTCAGCAGGCCTAATCTGGTTGCTGAAAGCTTAGAGGATTCCTGGAGAGTTGTTACGTCTCCTGTGCTTGTGGGAAGGTGGAAGAAGCTGGGTTCCAGAGTCCATGAGAGACACAAGAGCAGTAGCAGGGACAGAGCAGATACAGGCATGAACAAGGTGGCAGGGGGAAACCTTCCCACGTTCCCTTCAGAACTCTTTATATCGAGGCCACTGCTAGAAGGTCTTGCCTACTCTAGTAAAGGGTCTTTCCCCTAAGTTAGTCCTTCTAGGAAATACTCTCATAGGTCTACCAGTCTCTCTCTTAGTTGATTCTAGGTTCAATCAAGTTGACAACCAAGATTAGTTGCCACAATTAGAGACCTAAAATAAGCAAAAGAGAAGCTTGGAACAATGTGATAGAGTGAGCCTGTTGGTATTCAGAGGACAGACACTGCAGACAGTGGAGACTGAAAAGGCATGAGCTCAGCTGACTTGACCTGGTGTGTTTAGAATAAATCACTTCATTCTGGGGCAGGAGGTAAGGTCAATCAGGAAGAAACTCTGGTTATTGGAACCATTCCTTTATTCTGAAGAAGTATATGTGATAAATGGGATTGATATGGCTTCCATTTTGAAAAGGGCATTGTGACTACTCTGTTTAGAATGGATTATAGAATTAGGAACATTACACACTTGAACTGGAGACTTAGAAAATGAGAATAGCCGGGCGGTGGTGGCACACGCCTTTAATCCCAGCACTCGGGAGGCAGAGATAGGGGATCTCTATGAGTTCAAGGCCAGCCTGGTCCTGGTGAGATCCAGGACAGGCACCAAAACTACACGGAGAAACCCTGTCTAGAAAAACAAACAAACAAACAAACAAACAAACACCAAAGAACAAGAAAATGAGAACAACAACCTAGGAGAGAGAGTGTTGGCCTGGACCAGACTGCTTGTGGTTGGAGTGTTGAGAAGTGACAAGACTCTGGCTAAAACTTAAAAGTAGGAGAAGCAATACATTCTGATGGCTTGGACATGTTACAAATATGCATGTCAAGGCTGACTTTGACCTGAGCAAATGAAACAACAATTTGAGATGTCTTTCAGACATGCACTTATATATTCAACTAGGTACTTGTACTGGTCAGTAAAAGGGTAGCTCAAGAGAAAGAACCAAAGGTCAAGGGGTTTGTGGTTTGTGTTTAGATGGGAGGTGGTGGTTAGTATACTTTTGTGCACCTGGGAGTGTTTCCAAGAGAGGAGAGAAATGATGATAAAAGTAAGGGAGAACTATTGGAACTGGGGTCTGAATAGGTGACCCCAGGGGGTAGATGGGCAATGGGAGGTCCGTCCCTAGGCAGGTAAACAGGCATTGTGGCAAGAGGGAGAGCCAGGTGTCCAGGGACAGAGGCAGAATGACTGGATTTCTTGGGTGACTGCCTTCATTTCTCGGTGTACTAAGCAGTCAGGCTAGCAGCTGGAGGTAAGACGAGTAAGACAGATGTGACGAGAGGTTTTAATATAGAGCAGAAAGTATGATGAGGTACTTCGGGACCGTGGCTTTTAGATTCTGTCTCAAGATAAATTTATGGATCTTAGGTTTGTGATTTGAGCTCATTTAGATAAATTTAAGCTAAAAGGGGAGTGTTTCACACCTACCAAGATTAAGAGTTGCTTAATAAAATCTTTTAACTCCATGAACATATGTGGGTTTGAGTGCATATAAAGTGGAAGCAAAAATATACTTTTTAGCGCTCGCCCAGGATGGTGGGAGTAAATGAATGAACTGCTTATTTTGATTAACAATCATTTGAGATACCAGGAAGTAAAAAACACATTTATCTATCAGAGAATGAGAAGTCATATGCATCCATAAGATGATGGTCCCTTATAATACCTAATCTTAGTCTATTCTTTATCTACCTCCTTAATGAATGGTTGTACAGTAAACATATTTTCAGATGAAAACAAGATTATAATATGGACTCAGACTATCTGGCGGTTGGAACCTGCTGGAAGACCACAGGCCATTATCTACCCCCCTGCCCAACTCACACTTCAGAAAACCTTTCTAGGTTTTAATATAGACTCATGCAGTCTGAGTTCGGAACTTGTTGTAAGACCACAAGCCCTTGCCTACCGCCTCCATCGCCCACCTACACATTACAGGAAACCTTTCTATTGAACATTTTTACACATGAGAAGCTCAGCAGCTTGAAAGCTTTAGGTGTCAGAAAGTAACTTTCCCCTCTGTGAAAAATGGGGCCTTTACAATACTCTCTGGGGTGTTAAATTAGTGAGTGGTGGACATGGCCTATAGGATTTAGAGTTTGTTGTACTGAAAATAAAATTTGACCTCACGAATAGTAACAAGCGTGATGGCTCTTGTCCACTTCAGTCCTTTTAAAACAAACCCCTGCACTTAGCACTAAGAAGTCTTGTGTTCAAACCCTGGTGCAGGAGGCACCACACAGAATTAGTAAGTGCTCTCTCTCTCTGCTCTTAGAAGACTGAGCTACAGACAGGATGTTCAACAGACTGGCCTGGAACTTACCTTGACCCTCAGCAATCCTCCCCTCCATCCTCCTAAATGCTGGGATAACAGGCAGGAGCCTGCCTGACATTTATTGATATACTTTTAATTCTAATGTATGCTGTCTTTTTTTTCATTTTCTAATTTAAAGGAAGCACTTCTCCAGATTCATAGTTGCCTTGGTTGTTAAATAGGACCTTGAGATTAACTTCAAACAACTTTGTTTACCGGGTTAATTTCTGAAGCATTTATGAATTCTATAAAATATGTTTGGGGGAAAGTTGTTTATTAGTATATCATACATAAACATAAATAAAGTGTTTTGGTTTCACAATGCTGTTATCAAGTGCTTATTTGACTTACATTTGGGACAAGATGAGGAGGCAAATTCAACTGTTAGAGAATGAGGACTCAGAAAGATGTAGTTTCTTTTCGTCCCTAAGAGGATGGTAAATTTTAACATTAGTTCCCACTGAATGAACCTTCTGTATACTCTTGAGATTAGTCGGTATTTCTGGAATTCATTCACTAGTTTCACTTTTCTAAGCATCAAGACAACTCGAAATTGAAAAATAAGAACATGCAATTCTTATTTTATTACGTTGTATGGATCCGTTATTATTGAACTACAGTTAAGTGTGCTTTTCTCTATGGAAAATGTTCCTGTGGAAGGAATTACACAGGATTAAATCCTTCCAGCGTTCCTCGGAGCTCTACATGGAAAGCTCCTTTCTCTTCCATTTTGCAAGTCTCAACAAGTCCGCTGCTGAGTCACAACCTCCTCCCCCCCGCCCCCCCCTCCATGTGCGAAATCTTTCTCCCTTGGAAATTAATAAAGCTTCGGAAATATTCTGATTAGAGTCTCCCGGGGAAAGGAGGGAGGGACGCCAGAATGAACTTGGAGAGGAGGAGTCCGGCACACCCGGGTCACCGTGACAGCAGCGCACCCAAGGCGTGCTGCAGCCGGGCTGGGAGCTGGCCTGAAAACCTATTCAGTGCAGGCGTGTGCGACAACCGCGCAGAGCCCGGGCAGCCCCAGACTTTGTTCCCCTTGCTGAAGTGAACACATTTGCTAGACAGGGCGCTGGTGCTTCGCGTTTTACCCTGAAAAAAAAAAAGCCTTCTCGCCGAGGCAGGAGCCAGTGACAGCTCGCGCGGGTCGCACCGGAACACCGAGCGCAGGACCTTCCCGGATTCCTGTAGCCAAGAACCTAAGTCCTTAGAGCAGGTCCCGGGGACAGCGGCCCCTCCTCACGTGGCCCCAGGGGCTGGGAAAGGGCGGGACCTGAGGAGGGGGCGCGTGCGACTCGGGGGGCAGGAGGGGCGGTTGCCCAGGAACCGTCCGCAACGCCCGCGCGTGCTCGCCTCGGTGCGCACGCACGCGCGCGCGCGCGAACACACGGCGCTCGAACCCAGGGGAGACGCCCGTCCCAACTTCAACCGGCCCTTTCTCCATTCCGCCCTTGGCGAGGTCCGGGACTTGGACA